CTCTGGGCCTGCTACTGGGGTGAAATGACCAGGACTCCGTCCTCGCCCCCTCATCTAAGCTCCCCAGAAACACCGGCCTCTGACCACTCACCAACGTGTAAGCAGGCAGTCATTGTCTGGTACTGTACGGGTACAAGCCATACGCAGCTCGCCGCGCCGAGGTACAGTACAAAGGTCTTGTACCGCAGCACGACTCTAGTAATCCGCACAGTATACTTGTTGCTTTAGGAGACATTCGCAAGCCCCTCTGCCTTTGATTACGGTACCTCTTACCTGACCTCTTACTCTGATCACTCCTAAAATAACCACACCCAATGGACACTTTGACTCTGCTCTGTGCCTGCCCAGTCAACGGGCTCAATCCAGCGGGTTCAAGTTCTCCTGGGTGATACCTACTGCAACTTTGCCTAGGTAGGTGCCTTCCCCTGTGTCTGTGTCGTGATCCTGCCTCCACCCCGCCGAGTCGCTCTTTCTTTCGGCTTTCTCTCAGTAGTCTCCGTCCATGCCGTCCACCTCCACCTCTTTGTGAGGCCGCTATGCTTCATCACACTCTATCGGACTTGGAGTCTCGCTCGGCACGACGCTACCTGCACCCTCCTCCTGTTGGGACCTTCTTCTGTTCTTCGGTGGTTGTTGCCAAGTGCAATACACTTAGTAAGGTTGCATACCTATCTTTGCTCGTCATAGTGAATATCAAGCACTTTGTACAAGCATGAGAAACACAAACTACCTACAAACACACTCATCTCGCCATGGCGTGTTGTTACTTCTTCACTAATACGCCACGGTTCTTCCTCCCCTTTTGCTTTCGTCCTAGTGTTAGAGAATGAGTATAAGTTGGCTTGACTGTTGATAGATTGGTTGAGCTTGAGCCTCCTTGAGAAGTTGAGGGAGACCAAGAGGGGAGTGTTCAACCTACAGCCAAAACCATACTACTTGCAGCATGTCATTGTTTGATTGTCGCCAGAAAAGTGGCGCTCTCCAATCATGGTACCATAAAGCGATATCTGAAGGCGGGAGGTTGGTTCATACATTGTAAAATGCATCGCTAATAATGGAACTCAAAGTTCGGCGCTGTCCTGGCGGAGCCAAATTACACATCAGTCTACAAAAGGAGTATTGGTGTTGCACTCTGGCATAGCATCCTCTTGGAGACAAAACCGTCATGGTGGGAAATGGTTCCAGTTGACGCCTCATGAGGATTGACTGAGTACCACTGTTACAGCATCAGACTAGCCAACCGATTGTAATGGTCCGTTTCCGGGTTTGTTGTCTCTATTATTCCCAGCTCGTGCACCATCCGGCCTTGGGAGGGATCGCTTTTGTCTATCCGAAAGACAAATCTCGGGCTATGTTCGACTTCACTGTCCTTAACCCCTGTCCCAAGACTACTGCCTCACACATACCATACAACAATGCATCATCCATGTGTACATCGCACTTGGTTTGGCACTACCTTGAGACAATGGTATCACTTGCGTGACTCTGTTGATAGCCAGAAGGGATAAACCATGTTGATACAGCACGCGAAACGGCTTGGTTCCCCATGGTTACCTTCTTTGCACATAGCATTGATACTGCAGACTACCTCAACTTGGATATTTCATTTCTCGTATGTACGTTACCAGGCAACTCTTTGTTCAATGGCGGGGACGTCCTTCGTCAGTTCTAGACCACTCCCATTGAAAGCTGGAGCAACTTTGTAACCCACTGCAGGGTGCGGTACTTTAGCCCCATATAATGATCATGTATTGTCATACGAAATTTTCTTGGAAAGTTACTTGTAGATGAGCGCCCTGTCAGGGCTGTGATTCTATGCATCCTTACATCCATCCATCCATCCATCCCTTCCATTGTTCCTCTGCTTTTTACCCTCAAGGCAAGGAGATAATATTCCGAATGTTCTCCTTCCCAACCTCCGCGAGTATACCACGCTCAGCGCAGCTGAAGCTGACTGCCAACACCGGTCCCTACTTAGGTAGCCCCTTGATCTTCAGGTCACATAGCCCAGAGCCCCGGACTATTAGTTGCCATGTTACAGGCTGCAGAGGTTCATACTACGTGTGTACTTAATAGATTGTGCAGGGACACCATTCGATCCTAGCTCCGCAAAGAAGGACTGGTGCTGTGCCAGGGTATCACCTGGAATTTTCGATCAAGCAAATCTACGGATAAGAGAGACTACGGTCATATGTGCATCATTGGTGATCAGTGTTAATACCACACGCTAAAAATGGATATTGATACTCCGTCCCTTTTTGCTCAGTCAGATTGCAACAAGCAAAAAGGACAGGCCAAGACAAGCGAGAAATAGAGATGACGCCGGATACCTCATGACGCATACATCATCTGCGGGCATGGCGGGTACCACGAGTCGCGCGAGGAGCCTTGGTGTAATTGGGGTAGCAACAGACAGACAGACAGACACAGGCAGAAAGAGAGAGACAAGCAAAAGCGCCCGGCGCAGACGGCTTTGCCGAACTTGTTTGGTCGCGCCGGACCAAAACAAGGTGCAAAGGCAAGCCGTAAGTGGCCCATGGGAGAGGTACCAGTAGAGACTTACAGCGGGTACGCGACACACCTGTCTTTGGGTGGTCATGTAGTCCTCCTGGCAGCTGATACTGTGCTGTACCTAGACGCCGAGCCAACTCTGGGCTCACGCCAAAGTTGAGAACAGGGAGCTGAGCGTCCCCCCGCCCAAATTCATTCTTTGTGTCCCTCTCCACTCGCTCTTCTTGACTCTTTTTTGCTGCTCGGCCCCTTTCAGTTTCCTGCCACCTGCTTTTCAAGCTGTGCTCTGCTGACTTGTTGCTCCTAGCCGATCTCTGACTTTGAAACGGTAAAATCGGACCCGCGTTCGAGGCGTCCTCCTCCAGGGTCAGCAAATTCAAGACCAAAAGCAAGCTTTCCATCAACGTACGTCTGAAGAAAAGTACAAGAAACAGTAATTACAAGGTACTTAGGAAGAGCAAAATGATCACTCCATTTTAATTAAATACAACCCTTTCTTTTCCAAGTAGTCTTTTAATGTATACAAGGTACTTATTTTCTCCAATCTCTACATAGTACATACCTACCTATATCAGATCAGACGGTGTATTGGAAACTGAAAAGCATCTTATGTTAGATTCAGTACTCCCGTCCTTGGTCGCTGCCCAACACGCGACGACGCTAGTGATTAAATGCGCCCCTTTGAGGCACGCTGATCTGGTCCAAATTAAGGCAAATTCAGGGAGGGCATCAGAGTGATTTCGACGGCACTTTTTTTTTTGGGATACGCTGCCCTCCCCCATTCCCTTCGTTTCCTTTGTTTCTCACCTCCATCCATCTTCCATCTCGAAATTGCCAAGATATATCACGTGCATATACCTCCCGGTGGTCATAGCTTCCATGTCTGCTAAGCCTTATCGGGAGCTCATGGTGGAGTCTTGAGAATCACTCGATCCGACAGACTGGCGAATTGATGAAGCTGGAGACGAGGATGATGTCGAGATAAGAGGGCTTGAAACCTGGCACCTGCATGTTGTTCCAGGGACAGCCGTGATCGCGTATCGCTAGTAGCGAACTACGGCTCTGTCATGTCGTTTATTAGATTTCCCAGCTCTTCTCTACCAGATCACACATCGTATCCACGACGGGATCTCACGAGTCCCGATCCAACAACGGAGATACGTATCTTTTCTTTCCCGACGGGGCGGGACGAGGGTCGATTTCCTCGGTGCATGGCCGAATCATAGAGTACCTTCAGGAATTGGTCACTTTGGAGTAAAGGGCCTATGAAAAAGCAGTGAGCTTTTTTATGTAGAGTTGATTTTCTGTGGAATCATCATTCTTCCTCCTCGGGATCGAGTACAACATCTTGTAGTTCATCATCATGCACCCAATCAATACCACTGCCAACTATTATACCGCTGGCTACGCCTTTCATCACTCTCCATCTCTGTTTGCTTGCCTTGACGTCCGCCTCGAGTTCCTCCTGCTCTTGTATCATCTTTGAGTTCGGAGGCACTCTCTTCTTCAGCTTGACTTGTTCTGCTAACTCAAGCATCTCAGCCGCTGAAGTGACGTTCTCTCGAGACTTGCGCAGCGTATTACTTTGTACATTTGTCAACACGCTTAGCACCTTGTTCGTTTTAGCGGCCTGTGTGGCAACTGATATGGAGGTATCGTCTCTACGCTCAATGTAGGGCAAGAGTTCACTGGCGAATGTTAGTTGATAGCGCATACGCGTGCGAACAAATACACGGACCGCTCAATAAGAGCTGCTTCTGGGCCGCCATGAACAGCTCTGAGAATTGGGTTCGCCGTCATAACAGCCTCTGTTACTTCATTTCTCAGTATATACTGCGCTCTCGACTCCATCAGTTCTGATTGGGCTTTCTCTGTTTCTTCGGCGGTAAATGATGAAGTTTCATCTAAGAACCGTAAGCATATACTGCGAGCTTATCTCTAAGAAAAACAGACCTGGCTGATGTGACTTCTGCGCGTTTATGATTGCAATCTCAAGTCGAAGCTCTTGTATTCGATCATATAGTTCGAGGATCTTGGCTTCATCTTCTGAGATGGGAAGATGGGACATTTCTTCCTGCCCATCCATCATCGAGACGTCCTTTGAGTCTGCCATAGTGATTCTGGGGTTCGATACAGCTTTTCTACTGGAGTTCCTGCTGTGTCATGCCTTTGATCGCACAACGCGTTGACCTTGGCGACAAGTTTGTTACTGATTGTGGCTGGAACTGTGGCTTTGTAGATGTGGCGTTCCGCCAATTAGATGCTGCTCGTCACAAGGCACCGGTCACGGCGTCACGCTAAGACCAGGCTCTCATGGCCCATGGATAATCGGTGGGTCTTTCGTCACGCGAAGATATTACTATAACTCGTTCAACACCAGGTGCCCATTATAGTTCTGGTGATCAGAAACCATATCTGTACTGAAGTGCCCCCTTCTTTTCCGTCGGTCGCGCATTGCGGCAGTTTTTCTAACAAGGAGATGTCTCGGGATGGCTCTCCAGGTGTTGATAGCCCATACGGGCCTGCGGCTGGAGGTCGATACCGCACAGTTCTCCATGTAAGCCTTGTCAAGGTGACCATGAGATATTGGCAACTAACTCAGCTGTAGCCTCGATGATCTTAAGGCCTGGGTCTCCAGGAAAACCTCGATTCCACCACAGCATATTGTCGCCTTGACTCCTCAAGGCCGTACGGTCAAATCCACAAGCCTACATACAGAGGTTGGTTACTCAGTAAGAGATAAGCCTTTTCTGACCATAGCCCAGAAAGAGATGTTCATATACGATATCCGAATAAGTTCCCCAGGGAATGCGAACCTCATAGTCCCAGTTCCCGCCCCGAAGCGGTACGTCATCCCGAGTGCGCCGAACACGATCGATGATGTACAGTCAATATCATCATGGCAAGAGCTATACAAGGAGCGTCGAAATTGGGCAATGCATCTGGTTGAGGACTGTGGGCAGATGAACACAACAACTGTTGCGCTGTACGACGAGATAGATGTTATCATCAGGTGCTTGGATGCGGCTGTTGCGAATCTCGAAATCAGCATCAAGACCATAGAGCCCAAATACAACGACCTTAAGAAATGGGTAACGCCCGCACTGGAAGAGCACGGGACTCTGGTAGAAAATTGGGAGCAATATCTTGATCTGGCCAGAAATACCCCGATCTCCCCTCTAATGGTCAAGTTTATGACTCGACAAGAGGCCAAGAAGTCGAACCCAACTTTAGAAGACCTCATCGAACTCGATACCGCAAAGAAGGCGGGAAAACTTGCCCCGACAGCTCATCGAAGGTTCAGCGACAAGGCTACTCAACTCAACAACACGGCATCTCAGATGTATAGAAGCTTGGAATCACTGATTGCCGACTTCGAGAAGCTCATGAGCCGGTCTGCTCTTGGTCACAGCACAGCTTCCGCACAACTCCTTGAAGATATCGAGGCGGTAGTGAAGCAGATGGACTCTGACTACCGGGCAGCACTTGGATATGGCAATACGCAACGAGATATAGCGCAAGCTTCCAAGACGGCTTCAGTGCACACCGAACACTTGGTACCAACGCTGAAAAAGCGAGTCAAAGAGATGGATGACCTACTTCACTATGCAACAGACGCGCGGAATTCTATTGCTTCGGATTCAGCGAAATTCATGCGTTACGTTACGGAAATAACATCTCTTCATAACAACGTCAAAAGTCAAATCAACGTATTGAATCAGTCGGTAGATGACATGACGACATTTGATTATCTTCGTCTCATTCACCAGCTGCCTTATATGTACGCAGCTTTCGTCTCAGAAGCAGTTCGACGGCGCGAATGGGTTGATAAAGTCAAGACGGACTCGTCTACTCTAGCGAACGAGATGGCATTGTTTCAGGATGAAGAGTCCAAGCGACGGCGTAAATGGCAAAAAATGATTGGCAGCATGTATGGTCCAGATCTGGACACCAATGTCATGGGCCTGGAGGTCAATTTGCTTGGGGAAGACAAACCATGGCCAGCTTTGACCAAAGACGACTTGACAGATTTCGTGCAGTTGTTGCAAGAGCAACCCGTTGATCAGAGTGTGTTGGATGATGTGTTGAAGCTCGTACAAGAGCTTGACAATCCAACAAAGCAGCAATCCAAACGACTCAAGGCCTTCAAGAATGGAAGTATTCATGAAGTGGCCCTCGGCAGAAGTGGCCTCATGATTCGAGGCGATGATGATTTACTACAGTCACTCCAGGAGGACAAAGGTAAATTAGAAAACAAATTGAAAACGGCCGAGAGCCGAGTCCGCCGTCTAGAGGATTTGCTTCATCGACAGAGCCAAGCCAGCCGCCCTGGAAATCTATTCCAGCCTCAGGGTCCCCAGCAGCGCGAGAGAGGCAACTCTGGGTCATCCATCAGATCGAGCCGCTTTGATGACCGTAGACGCTCTTCAGACGGCATTGACCCCTTGATGCGACGTATCACTCAGCTAGAAAACGAATTGCGAGAAGAGAAACAGCGGTCTAGTCGACTCCAGCAAGAACTCACAGCGCAATCAAATCATCATGAGAACATCAAAGGTCAGCACGAAGACTTGAAGGGCCAGCATGAAGACTTGAAAGGTCAGATTGCGGAAGTTAACACTACCAAACAAGATCTACTCGAGAATATGGAGGCCCTCGAACGCGAATTTGTCGAAGAGCGCAAGAACCTAGAGAACGAAATCAAGACTCTCAGGGCACGGTTGGAGGATACTGAAGACGAAATCGAACAGTTCGACGAATCAAGGCAGCACGAGAAAGCCGGATATGTTGTACGAGTGGAGGAGCTAGAGGCCGAGTTGGAGCAAATCAACAAGCAGCGACAAGATGATGCCCTCAAAGCCCAAGGGCAAGTCGAGTTCCTCCGCAAGGAAACCCGAGTTCAAAGAGAACAGCAAGAGGCCCTTGAACAACAGGTTCAGTCTGCAAAGGAGGAAACTCAGGACGTCTCGAGAAAATTGAGTGTTGCTGAGGAGACTCTAGGTGATCATTGGCAGGCCCTGAAAAGACTGTTTACTGAGCTGCTGCCCAAGGCTGCTGTCCCAGACAACTTTGTAGACCTTTCGGATTTGCTACTTACACAAGCCGGAACGCTCGTTGAAAAGTCCCGAAACTCGGAAGCAGACATTGATATACTAAAAACCAAGGCTGAACACTTTACGGCAACCATTGCGGAACTCCGAGAACAGCTTGCTGAGAAGGGTACTAAATTATCCGAAGGCGAAATGAAAGCCGTCCATTTGCGTGAGAAATTGGCTGAGGAGAAAGCAAAGGTGACCGCACTTGAACAAGAGCTCGCAGACGGTAGAGAGCAACTCACTGAGTTGCGTGCCAAGCTCAGTGATGGCGAAACTGGACCCGAAGCTCTGCAGACAAGACTGGAGGAAGAAGAGAAAAAGGTCATGGCCTTGACCGAAGAAGTGGCCTCCAAACAATCCCACGTCGGTAGTCTGGAGGAAGAGCTTCGCATGTTCCAAGAGAAAGCGGAGTCCCTCCAGGGCAAGATACTTAACTTGAATAACCAGTATGAGCACCGAGACGAGAAGACTAAGGATCTCACACAGCGCCTCTACTCTCAAAACGATCGTATGTGCCGCCTATTGGAGCGCGTAGGATTTGCCATTACCAGGAAAGATGGAGATATGACCGTTACTAAGATTCCACGATCCGAAAGAAATGCTCAGAACCCCAACGACTCCTCTGACCCTGGTTCGTCCCTACGCAAGTCAGGAACTCTAAGCCGTGTCTTGGGTGATAGCGCTGATCTCGAACTCCTATACTGGCTTAACAACTCAGACCTGCAGGCCGAAAATGAGAAATACGAAGCTTTCATGAACAAAATTGGCAACTTTGACATGGAGCTTTTCTCCGAGACCGTATATCGCAGGATCAAGGAAGTAGAGCACATGGCTCGTAAGTGGCAGAGGGAAGCCCGATCCTACAGGGAGAAGGCGCACGTTCTGCAAAAGGATTCACACGAGAAGATTGCTTTCAAGCACTTTAAGGAGGGCGATCTGGCCTTGTTTCTCCCCACACGCAACCAGCAAGCTGGTGCGTGGGCCGCTTTCAATGTGGGCTTCCCACACTACTTCCTGCGCGAGCAAGATGCCCATCGCCTTCGTCACCGAGAATGGCTTGTTGCCCGTATCTCACGGATCCAAGAGCGTGTCGTCGACCTTTCAAAGAGTCTCCAGCCGAGCAGCGAGACAGATTCGATCAACGATGAGGAGAACGATAACCCCTTCCAGTTGTCGGATGGTTTACGCTGGTATCTGATCGATGCTTTCGAAGACAAACCCGGCGCCCCTTCGACGCCTGGAATGGGCAAGTCAACTGTTGCGGCTAATACCGTGGAAGCGACAGCCAATATTCACACTCATGCTACGGGTGGAAAGGGTAAGAGTCGGGATAGTGTCACTAGTATTGAAGGTATTAACAAGACTTTATCCAAGAGTCTTGAGAGTAGGCGTAGCAGTACGGGTTCCAAGAAAGCCCTGCCGTTTCAGCTTGGGGGCACGGCTTTGTTGAAGAATAGTGCTTTGGCTAGCGAGACCAACTCACTCCGAGCGCATCCCACCGACACACCATCCGGCACAAGCCCTACACACGGGGGGCTTCTCACGGCAGCCAATGCGAGCCTAGCACAGAAAGCTCTGGCCGAAGGGCAAAGGAGCGAGCAAACGGAGAGTCCGAGCAAGTCTCCTCCTGGCGAGTCATCAAACCAAGGCGGCAGCGCCAAAGCGGACGAGGTACGAAACGTCGACACCCTTCTTGGACCATAATGATGGGTTGCTGACGGCCAGTTAGCAGCCTCGGAAAGCTATGCAACGGGAGGATTCAGCTGAGAGTCCGACGAAAAAGTCGGTTGTTTGGGATTCTCTGTGGAGTGTTGACTATAATTATGAGAGTGCAGGTAGAAAGTAGTTGAAGTTCGGTGGCTCTGTATGTGCTCGTACAGGGCCAACTCCTCTTAGGTTTAGGAAGTCTTTACTCTGGGAAAGTATGGGTGTTATTACTTGTTTGGCGCATGAGCAGTGTGTGTAGAGAAAGGGAGTAGAGTTTAAGAGTTCATTAGCCTTTCGGATGGACAGCTAGGATGGGCAATGGGAATTGCTTTGCGGTTTATAGGGTAGCCCAGAAGAAAAAGGCCATGATTTCCTTCTGTGATATCTTTCAATTTACTACATTAGAGACTCACGCCTCTGTCACATAATGTTCACGTTTTATTTGGGGTTGACAGAAGGTGTCTGGGGGATGTAAAACTTCTATTTCCTATGATAAGTAACAAAGAGATATAGGTAAGGACTTGGTAGTGAACCTCTTGACTAGTTTCTTGGTACTGATCCCTGGTCAGAAGTTTTCTTGTGTTCAGGAGGCTATATATCTTGCTTTATCAAATTATCTGCATAAAAGTAGCTACCTAGCCAATTGAGTTCTGTTTAGCTGATCAAAATCAAATAGACAAGGGGGTTTTCGCAAGAATTCTGGGTTCTTGGCAGGGGTATATGCGGATTATGATTTGGCGTCAAGGCCTGATAGGGGAATTGATGAGATTGGGGCAATGGGTACGAGATGTGTATGAGAGTTCATCATCGGTGGTCTCGCCTGGATCTTCAACGTCTCGGATGAAAAAGATGGAATCTTCAGGACCATTACGGCTCCGTCTCTGATTCATACTGCATCACAAAATGGATCTGGCCGCCAGGCTGAAGACAGTCCTTCAGCCAATAGATGTATGTTGGGAATCCGACGAGTTCTTCATCAGGATCATCATCACTTTCATCACTTTCGTCGCTCTCGCCACTGTCTTCGGAGTGGCTCTTGACGACAGTGCTCGGGACATACTCCTGTTTCTCGAGGGTTTTGGCCCAAAAGTCCTTGCCCAACTTACAGTATTCCTGTCGCACCGGAAGGCCAAGAACAACAAGTGTCTTGAGCTTCAGATGTCTTCCCATCTCAACACAAAAGGACTTGAGTGCCGCGTTGGGACCATCGGTCCAGGGCCCTGAAAGATCAAGACAAAGGCTCTCAAGGCCAGTCATCAGGGACCAGTCCAGCTGAAGAAGAGCTAGACGATCCGCATCTTGTCTGTGAAACAAGACGTGATGGAATGCGATGTGCATGTCAGCATCGATATTATGGGAGACTTGAGAGATAAGATACTCATGTTCTTTCATTTCTTCGAGTAGTTGTTCGTTATCTAATGCCCAGGGAGAGGTTAGAATCATGGCGTGGCGTTGTCGTTGGCACGCGAGACGATCGTCGTCCGCATGCAGCTTCTTGACATAGGCATTACAGTTAGGACCATCAATTCCACCATAAGCATCAATAGCGAAGGGAATATCATCCATGATATTACCGGCAAGAACAAGAAGATTTCCGACCTCACGGCGAAATGCTCCGAGATCCAGATTTCCGTTGTTGTGTCGACTCCAGACGGCTCTCATTAACTCAACAAGATCAGGGTTGAGATATCTATCATAAAGATGAAGCTGATGCAGCAGTCGATGTTGTTCGAGAGCTTGCTTCCAGCTCAAGTTCTCAGACGTCAGAATCTCGATCTTGCCGTCAATGACAGGTGTTTTGTCTATGCATTTGTGTCGAAGTGGGATACGTTCGATCTGCCCCTGTCCAAATACCCCTCCACGATCCAGCTGACCTCGAGTGTAGATGACGGTGTAGTAGTCACCGGAGTCGTCACCACAGACAGATAGACCCTGTGTGAGTAAGTGAATCTAGCACTCACTCTTTTGGGCGGCCTCGGTGAGGATTTTGAAGACTATCTCATTGGGGAGTGTACGTAAATTTGGTGCGCTGGAGGCATCCTGAGTGTTATTCAGAGTACTCATGATTGCGTCTGTAGGATGATTTGCCGATCTAGTAGTGTAAGAACAGCAAGTTTACTCTGAAGAAGAGATTGATGATGATGTTGAGAAAGGTTAGAGTTTGGAATTGGGATGAGAAGGTCACTATGTGATTGATACATGACTGTTCACGTGTTCATAGAGTTGTGCCAGTGTCGTGTACTATATACTATGTCGCTACCACTGCGATCGAATAAGGGAGACTGTTCAGCCGCTCAGTCGAGGCCAAATACCTTATGATGCAGTCTGTCGCGTCAAGCACCTGACGCCGGACGGTGTAAGTGAGGTTGTCGTAGATGCCAGCTTCTGATTGGTGTTCGTAAAGTCGAGCTTATCTGGGGTCATGATGAGAGATAAGGTACATGTAAACCATCAAGTTAAGCTCCGAACTGTAAGTCTGTTCAGCAAGTAACTTCTTCCCATATTCAACACATAAGTTCAACCGCATTCATCAGTCGGCAGTCATGTCTTTAGAGACGCACCAAGGTTTGCAGCGCTCATTACCTCCCGAACTACTCTACAATGTCATAGAGGCCGTCTTGCCTTCGAATCCGCTGGCATTAATCCCAGCGTCACAGATTTCGACAAAGACACTACTCTCTCTGACACTGGTTTCGCGCGATACATACAAGTTAGCTACTCGGCTGCTTCGAGAGCGATGCCTCTACATTGACACTAGTCGACGCCTTGCGCAGCTGTTGCTCTGTCTTCCTCACTCTGTCCCAAGCCTCCCGCCTACACTGCCACTGCGGAGTATCACATCGCTCTATCTAGCCCCATTTAAAGACAAGTTGGACGACCAACCCACAGCAGCTTGGGTGCGGGAGCTATTCTGCGAAGTATGCGGTACACTGCGAAGGCTGATTGTCCACATGCCATTCCAGAGTTTAGATCCACTAGATGACCACTTGAATGTCAGGAGGACTCTTCGCGAGGGTTTCGAACGGCTTGATAAACTAGAGGAATTTGTCTGCCTTGGCGATTACCCGGCACTGAGCCTTCAAGATGCTCCTACTGATGTCTGGGGTCTGTGGCCGGATCTCAAACGCCTCACGATATTTGGGGCACCGCTTGATAATCACTGGCTATGGTGGTACATCGCCACGCAGCAGAAGCTAGAGAATGTCATCCTCGCTCGTCCAGTGAATGTCGAGGCAGCCAACATCAAGGAGGAGTATTTTCACAAATTACCACGGGATGACATACGTCTAGATCGAGATATCAAGATCACCCTTTTAGACGCGACCTTTGTGTGGAGGGGCGTCAAGACATCGCGTTGGAAGGAATTCGATCCGAAGGAACGGATGACAGTTGAGCTGTATGATGTGCCAACATCGTTCTATGGCGATGAGACGCCCAGGGAGCTTGTGACGGCATGGGTGAGACGGGGTGCCCTGGACGGGAGTTTATGGGACTGGGAGGGTGAAATCGTCAAGGAGACTGCAACTGATGCTACATGATGTACTTGTTCTTCGATACCCGATTTTTCCATTATCAATCATATTGATGTTACAGTAAGTGCTTTGTTTCCGTTGATTCTCATGTTTATCAGCCTTTATCTTGATTCGACTGTCATAGTTGTACTACTTGAGCAGATGAATACACCACAAATTGAAGAACATTCACAAGATCCATAATCGAGCTGAAAACACGACCCCGCAAAGTCCAAACGAATTGTCTACGGATGCATCGGAAACGCAGCTCAAACATCCATCAATTACATATGTCGGGAGGCTCCCGGGTAGTAGGTAGTCTAGCTTAGGTATACAGCCGGAAGGGTACCTATCAAAACTGGTGGTCAGCAGGCAGTGGAGCTCACAAGATTGGGGGTTCAGAGCCAAATCCCACCGAAAGCTGTCCCTAATGCACTGTCTAGCTTCTCCCCAGGCGGGGTTATGGGCATGTTCAGTGGGGTGCCTACCCTGTTCACCTGCCCGAATGGGGTAGAAATTTTTGAGGTGGAGCATGCTCCGGCTTCGCTTTCTTCCAGAAAACCCGCCATCGCAACGCCAGAAATCCCCGTCTTTCCCCCGGCCGTTGAGTCTGTGGTTAGCGGATGTGGATTGTTTCTCCATAAGCTTTCCTACAAACGCTCAAGAGAACAGACCATCTCGGTTTCTGTTACATACTCGCTCTCCGTGCGCTCTTTTGAAGTCTCGCGATCCGAAAAACTCCAGATTTTGTTCCTCCACTGTCATGTCGCCCTGCGGCAACAACTTACACGCTACCACCGAGAGCTAATAAATTCCCGACCAAGAAAGAGAAAAGCTTCTATCGCGAACTCGCCGTCCACACAGAGACATGCTCGCAAGCCACACCCTGTTGTGACCGTTTGACCGTTTAATCTGTCCGACACGAGCGTATGCTTAATCGTTTCTCTGCCCCCGGATTCTCAATCCCGACCCTTCCGAACCCTTTGTTGGCCACTGTTGAAAATGCCCGAGAAGTCGGCCTCAGTAGTGTCCTACGCTGCTGGTGCCTCTCTCGCTGCCGCAGCGCTCATATATGTTTTCGCACCAAACTTCTCCATCGACCACGACGCTACGAGCTCCAAGAAAAAGTCTATAGTCGGTTTGAGAAACCAAGCCAATGACTGTTTTATCAACTCGGTCCTCCAAGCCCTTGCCGGCTTAGGAGAGTTGCGCATATATCTGATTCGCGAAACGCACCGCCGCCGTATCGAAGATCCTGCAGTATATGCTAGTCTTGTCCAGCCAGAGGGCAAGCGGATTGCCCAATGGAAGCTACAGGGCCTGCAAGAAGGACTAGTCACACAAGGACTGAAAGAGATGCTGGATGCGCTTAATGAGCGCCCCATCTACAAGAAGTCCATATCGCCGTTCCAGTTTGTCAAGGTTTTGGAGGCGGCATTCAAGCAAAGGATCAGCCGCCAACAACAAGATGCGCAAGAGTTTCTCCAAATTGTGGCTGAGCGCCTCAAGGACGAGTATCATTGCGGACAACGAGCAAGACTACACATGCGGAGGCGCGGCCTGTTTCCTACCCAAAGTACACCGAGTGTCGAGAACACGCTGGATAGTCAAGACAATGGTAAGGACGGCGACAATTCCTCACCCGAGCAGCAGCCCACTACCAATGGCGACAACGACTCTGCTATCGAGCCATCCGAGGAAACCGAGATCCCCCAGGACAATGGCCAGTTGCCCATAGAAATTGAAGAGGGCTTCCCAATGGAGGGAAAGTATGAGTCGCATCTCGAGTGTCAGACTTGTCGCTACAAGACTAAGCCTAGGGAAGAGACTTTCTGTACTATAACTTTGGCTGTGCCTCAGGTCTCAGGCACGACGTTGAATGCGTGCTTTGATGGCATCTTCAAAACCGAGTACATTGATGATTTCAAATGTGAAATGTGTCGATTGATGCAGACAAAGGCAGATTTAGAGGCCGAGATGGCCAAGTCCACGTCCCAGAGTTTCAAGGCGCAAGCCCAGGAAAGCATCGATAAGCTCCAGCATGCCATTGACACAGATCCCGAAAACCCCCCGGAGGATGTCGAGCTTGGCGATATTCGTTTTGCGCCCAAGAGGAGGATCGCAAAGACCACTCGAATGTCCATATTTCCAAAGATTTTGGCCATTCACCTCTCCCGCTCCATCTACGATGTGGGCCAAATAACACAGAAGAACTCGGCCAAAGTTGTCTTTCCCGAACAGCTGCCTCTCGGTGGTTTGATGGATCAAAAGAGATACAAGCTGCTCGGGCTGGTTACTCACCGTGGCGGACACAACAGTGGCCATTACGAAGCATTCCGACGACAGAACGTTGCCGCACCCTTCTCAAACCCGAACACCTTCCAACCATCGGAAGCTTTTAGCAAAACACCGACACCCATAGGCACCCCTATTATGGGAGGAAGACCGACGCATAGTCCGGCAATCTCTACTCCTGACCTCCTCTCAGGCTCGTCTGGTGACTCGACGCCTTCTCTAGAATCTCTACCGGTTCCGCCTAGGAGTGTCCCTTCAGACCTACGAGGCTCGGTGAGCTTGCCAGCAATTGGCAAACAGAAGGATCCGGAAACCAGCAGTCTTCGTTCTGTGGCCGCCTCCACAAAGTCAGCTCTCTCCAAGCTTACATCTCCCAAGCAAACAAATAGCAGTTCATCACCACCCAACTCTGTGACATCAAACGTCGCAAAACGATCAAGGAAACGAAAGTCAGCAACAGACAAATGGTGGCGTGTCAACGACGAAAAGGTCAAGGAGGCAAAGACCAGCGAAGTCTTGGGCATGCAGAGAGAGGTGTATCTGCTATTTTACGAGCTCGATAAGGATGCTTAGGATGCTGATGAGGTTTATCCAGTGCGTGAAGATGCAGGACGGTGTGTGATACTCTGATGTGCCAATTCTGTTACGCTTTACAGAGTTGATGGGAGGGGTGGCTATTTTTCCTTCTCTCCTAACTATTTGCATAGGGTTGGCGTTTCAAGCAAGACAGTTTCGGGATTCTCTATACAGTTAAATTCCATGGTGCTTTTTGACAGTATTTACAAAAATATCTAGCATTGGATACATGGGTGTTAGTGAGGAAAGAAGGTCATTTATAAGGTAGATAGGGGCTATGATTCTTACCTATGGCAGTGGTGAATACACAATTAACAGTACAAACCTATTTGAGTAGGAGATTACTTGTTCCTCGTGCTGCGTACCATCCATGTACAATTTGCAGTCAATGTCTGAATATTTCTATTACATCTTAGTTTCAATCCTCCCAATTATATCTACAATCGTATCCAAAACGATATTGCTTTAATGTTCAGTGGCCAATCACAGTTCTACAACGAATGAGTCAGCATAATATGCAACAGCTAACAGATTGGGGATGACGACTTCACCAACCTCGTTGATCGTGTTCCCTGTTTACGCTTCCTTTTATATATCTTTTCTCTTTTATCAAGACAGCATTCCTACTTGTAAGGCAGCCTCTGTTTCGCATAGTCAGAGACTTAGGGTATTATCCCCTGG